TTGTTTCCAAAAAAGTTCTTCCTCTCTAAAAGGTTCTGCTAAGTCCCACCGTAGAGTCTTCAATAATTGAAAATGCGATTGTACTTTAGCTCCTTCTAGCTCAAGGTTATGTTGTAACTGCGTAATCCGGGATCTTAAATTCTGATTGGTACTATGTTTCCTTCTTGAGATAGACCGTTGTCACTCTACAATTTTGTTCATAACAGACAACGACTCTATATCCTATCCTTTCGACCATCCTTCTTTCACAATGTCAGCAAACTATGGTTTTGCTGTCAACCATTTTTGAAACAAAAAACGGCCTCTGTGAGACATATGTTCACTAACAAAACAAGTAAGGAGGGGATGATGATCAAATCCTATACGATCTAAATATTTAGCTTGTATCCGTGGAAATAGTTGAAACCAAGCCGCATTACAGAGTGCTCTATCCAGACGGCATTGAACCCAAACTTGATTGCGTTCACCAGCCCATGAAATTTTTTTACCAACGCTAGGAACCTCCCGTAGACGACAATCATTAGTCATATTCCAAAATGGAAAGAATGATGATTCTGCTCGTGATGGTCCCACTAGCTTCTCTAAATTTTTGATAATTTCATTAAGATCTCCCAACACTAGCCATGGATCATCTCTGGAAACACTTAAACTAATTAATCTATCCCACACAACTTGTCGTCGATGTACAACAGGATCCCCATATACACAAGATATGAAGAAACAAAAAGGGCCAAGGTTAACTTTGTTGTCAATAATGCGATGATCAGCACTAAGAATCTCCACCACATAACCTTGTCGGATTGACAATACATGAATGATCATATCGCAGTGACTTCTGCACGTTCACTTTGTGATTACTGGAGTTCTTCGTCTCGAGGAGGAACAAAAAATCCGGAAAATATTCGCGACGCATTTTACTCAACATAGGAATTGTCAAATTGTCCCCCAAACCTTGACAATTCCAACTCATAAAACTCATACTTGATTCGACGATTCCTCATGTGAACCATCGTTTCTTTTACACGCTTAAACGATTTTTGATGAAAGTTTAGCCTCATCCACAGCCTTCCTTTTTGCCGAAACACCATCCTCCAAGTCATTATTCAAAACATCAAGACTTGTTACTTGTAGCCACCCCTTCCTGTAATTTTTGAGCCTTTCTTCTCCATAGATTGGGTCTTCTCCTCTTCTTTACTGATGCAGTTTTCACTCCAGAAGAACCAGCAGAAAAACAAGGTCTTAAATCCGTCGATCCAAAACCTTATTGTGAGGCAGTAGCATACGTAGCACACATCGAGTGAACATGCGTAGATAGCCGTGACATGGCCTTACCCGTACGAATAGCCGAGACAACTCGATCTTCCTTTGAAGTTGCAGAACAACTTGCTCCTTCAAAACTCGAAAACAAAACCGCTGCGTTTATCAACATCAGTAGTGAATTTGGTTGGAGCTTCAAGAAGAAGAAGAGTTTTCTGGCCATCAGCATCCCCTCCAAATCCCATACAGATTTCCAAACTCTCTCAATATGAATCTTCTTCAGATGCGGGTCAGCTACAGAAAGGTATTGCCGCATTTCATCAAGGATATCTTTGGCAATTTTCGATTTACCCAAATCATGATCAGTGCCCACATCATCATCGGTTAAGACACCAAAAAGAGGGTCATATTTGCTTATCTTTGGCACTAGCCAAACTAGGTATGATCGATGTTGCTTTCATCCCTCTTGTAGCAAGAGCTTGCCGGTTCGAAGGATTAAACAGGCATCGTTCCATGTCATGAGTAAGACGTTTACATTGGTAACACCTCCGTCAGATCCTTTCATACTCCACTCCAACATTAATTATATATCCAAAAGGAATTTGGAGGGAACGAGAGTTCTTCAAGGGCTTACTCACATCAAAAAGCACACGGACCCTAACGTAACCCTTACTTTGAGATTTATGTGGGTCAAAAGCAAAATCCGTAACTTGTCCAATGTGATGCAATCTCCTTGAATGTGTCTAATGTGTTGTAATTCACCAAATGTTACGTAAACGTAACCAAATCGGCAAAATTTTTATATAATCCTCTAGTGGCTTCTCCACCCATCTCTCCAATGTCACACTCCAGTCATTAAAAGTTCAAGCACCTACTTCAAGTACCGTACTTAACTCGGATTCAAAATCAAATATGAACTGGAATTGATCATTTGGCAAAGTTATGCCTCTAACTCTATTATAAACCCTCCACATTCGTGGCATCTCGTGAATCATCTTCGACATCTTTTGGTTTTCCGGGCACAAAAGCCTCCCAATAATACTACATTCATTGCGAAGGCAAGAACTGAACTCCGAACGTTTTTGCAACACGATCGGTTTCTCTTCTTCTAGTGACATCTCATGCAACGCCTTGTCGAGAGCGTACTCCATTAAACACTAAACACCACTTACTCCCAAGATAAGAAATTAACAAGTGAAAAAGGAAGCAAACGTTGTCTGCGCTCAAGAATACTTAGAACTAGGTTAAAAATTCAAAAAGATCCTCCAAAATTTTGTAAATATCCTGAGGAAGTCTAGAGTGTTATTTGAAATTAATGCGCTGAGTCTTAATGCTTAGTCATTTCATGTTTAATTAACCAGAAGTTGAGATTAAGAAGTGATTTGAGTTTGATAGCTTCGTCAAGAGATTGAACTGGTTAGCTTATGAGCTTCTTGTCTAGGAAACATCATTGATAGTGTTTGATTGAACTTAAAGATCTCCACTGAAGTCACCATCTCATCCCCAGAACCTCCTTTTAATTGATTGATTTACCTTGCTTTATTTATGTTCTTGCATTTCTAGTTCACTGCATGTTCTTATTTCTGTAGTTTCATTTCTGTTTTAGTTTAATGTTGTCTTTTGCTTAGCTCTTTCTTGTTTTCAATTCAGTAGTTGATAGCTTAAAACCTTTCTAGTTTGGCTTGACTTGGTAAACATTAATTGCATCTAAACTGCTTGCACGCGTCCTTATGGATCGATAAAGCCCTTTATAC